GATAGCGCACTAGCCGTGCTGGCTGGAACATGTCAGCGTTGAGGATCAGGTCCCACTCCCAGAAGGACTTGAGCTTGATCCCTCGCAGGCGGACATTGTTCCCGTGTTCTGCTAAGGAAGGACAGTGATGACGAGCACGTGGCTGCAGCTCTGTGGCCAGCACGGCTTGGATGCTGCAGCTGGGGACAAGGAGCTCCCTGCACCTGTGGCATCCCAAATAAAGCTCATTTTCCAGCTTTTCCTCCTGGTGAGGCAGGAAGAGATGCAGGTGCCAGTACTGGCTGCAGGTTTAGGGCTGGGTTGGGTTGGCAGCTCCATTCCGGCAGCGCAGGCTCACCTTGACACGTGAGGATGCGGATCTCTAGCACTGGCATGTAGGTCTTCACATCGCGAAGGATGCAAACAGCCCGGTAGCTCTGCCTGCACACAGCACAGAGGGAGATGGCACAGCCACGAGACACAGACACCAACGAGGCAGCCGATGAGGTGTGGACCACCCAGCTCCTCAGCTAAGGAAATGCCACTACCCATAGCAAAAGCCCTCCCCACCTCACAGGGACTGTGGCAGGAGGGGACCAAGTGGAGAAGAGAGGCTTTCAGAGGCACAGAGACGTCCTGAAGAAGGTGGAGGCCACATCCAAAGTCAGAAAAGAGCATAAATTCAAAGCAAAACAGAAAGGCAAGATGGCCAAGAGTGAGTTGCTCTTCCCATGGGGTCCTGGCATATCTCACAATGGCACGATCATCCTTCAAGCAGAGATGGTCACACAAGGGTGATGTGTTTTGAAGAAAATGGATTTGTGGAGATAAGCAATCTGGTAAGCGACTTGCTTGTGTTTCCAAAGCTTTTGCAAAGTCTCAGCAAAGACCTACAGGCGTGTGGGGAAAAAGCACTGTAACTGCCCAGATGCAGCAAAGAGTTGGGTCCTGCCACTAGGAAGGAGACCTTGGTCATCTCACCGGTGCTTCTTTGAAGACAAATCTCACTGCTCAGCCAAGAAAAATGCAAATAGACAAGTTTTGGGGAAGAAGGAGGAGATCTTTACACTCTGTTTGTCTTGAGAGGGGTGCTGCAGAGCCAGGGCAAAGAAGGAGAGGTGGAGAGTCCCAGGACTTCTCAGCTACAGCACACCAGAGGATGCTCAGAAAGGTGACAGCAGCTGTACGGGATCCCAGAGGTGAGAAAGATGAGGTGGAAAGACCCCCAAAGTCACCAGGCAGGAGGAAACACACCATAGCCAAGCTGCCAGAGCACAGACGAGGAGCAGAAGTGGAGATGAAGGTGCTTGGCTGGCACATGAAGGTGGGGACCGCCACGGCTGTGGGGACAGATGTAGCCTGCATCCAGGGAACCCCTGACCGGTGGAGAGCCACCATCAGTGGCAGGTCACTTAAGACAGACCCCATCGGGATGCAGAGATAGCTCAGGAATTTGGCCCGAGCTGGACCCAGGCTGCTCCTTGCTCATTACTCACATGTTAATTAGGACAGTTCTCAGGTGCTGCAGATTGTTTGGTGTCCCCCCATACACAGCCACCCGTCTGGGTATATAAGAGTCGGCCCTAGCGTCCACCACCAGCCACAGCTTCCTGGGGACGAGAAGAGCAAAGGGCACTGTTGTCCTCCCCTCCCAAGCTGCTTGGGCACAGACATGACCCCAGAGATGTCCCAAGCCTGGGGACAAGGCAGCCCATGGGAAAGCTGCATTCAGGAGGAAGATGGTGCTGTGCCACACACCCTGCCCGTCCCTGGCACAGTCAGGGAAGGGACACCCTGAGGTCTCACTTGATAATAACGCCCTTCTTCATGTTGAGCCGCACCCAGTGCTCCCCTGGGAGCCCATTGCTCTCCCAGTAGGTGTCTTCCTGGCTGTCCGTCAGATGAGCTGCACCGCAGTTCTCCTGCGAGAGTGGAGGGAGGGAACTGAGCATCCTTGGGCACACCATGGCCACCCCTGGGATGGCTCCTGTGGGGCCAGGGGAGAACAGGACCAGACCAGCCCCTCAGTTCACTATTCTATAGGTGGATGGTGGCTCGGGCACAGAGCAAGCTGGGCATGGCAGTGCCTCAGAGACACAATGGGGTTTCCCTCCAGATGGCCAACTCCCAATTAGAGCAGCGAACCCCCATCACTATCTCCTGACCCTTGAGGAGCGGACAGCTACTGCCAGCCACTCCTCCCCACAACCGCAGCAATGCTCACGTGTCCCACACTGATTTTAGGCTGTGCAGGAGCCTCGCTACGCACCGCCTGCGAGGAGACCTCGATACTGCTGAGGTGGTCTTTGGTGCAGTCCCTGTGCTGCAGCTCCTTCTCGCTGTGATCATACAGGAAGTGCCCCAGCTCCAGGTCATGCTCGTAGCTCCAGCCTGGGGGCACAGACCTGCAGAGGGGTTCTGCGTTAACAGGATGGGCAGATCAGGCTTCACGCCAAACCTGCCCACCAGCACTATGAAAGTGGGCCAGCTCAGATTGGCTGCAGCATCTCATGGTCACCACATCAGGACGGCAACTGTCCCTGCCGCAGGCAGATGGCACAGCTGTATCTCACCACCACCACACCAGGTGTTTACGGCCACCCCAACTCAGAGAGAAAAGCACCATGTGGTTGTTCTGATGCTCCACAGAGCAAAGGCCATCTTGTCTTAAGCAGTGATGAACTACATCAGTGTAAAAGGCATCTCGTGGCATCCACCCTCTCTGCTCCTGACCTGGAAGCAGTCCTGGACCCACAGGAATGTCCAGGCCCCGGCTGGCCACCCCCCAGGGTGCTGCAGTACCATTTTAAGAGAATGGACCCATACCGAAACTTCTGCACTGCAGCGTCATCCTGCTCTATGAGTCTGAGTTTCTCTCCCAGGTGTATGGAGTAGGTCAGGTCCACCACTTGTTCCCAGCTGGAGCAGCATCGGTGGAGGAGTTGCAAAAGGAAAGAGATGAGTCAGTGCTCAGTACGCCCAAGTGTTACTGCCCGGGCCTGGAGCAGATGCAGCAGCGATGGGGGACAGGGGGTGACACCCAGGGGGTGCGGGAGGACTGAGAGCATCCCTGCACCTGGGTGCAGGCTGGGGCAGAGCAGGGAAACTCAGCCTTGCACATGGCCTTCTGTCATGAAAATCAAATACAATCTCCCTCATCGCTGTATCACCACTGGGACATGGCTCAGCCCGAAGCTGAGCAATCCAGAAATCCATCGGCATCATCTTAATCCTG